AGTGCATTTGGGCAATCCAAAATTGCTCAAGCACCCTATATGGGGTGGTGTGGGCCTCAGAGAGCAACAGCTGCCCAGGAGAGGCCCAGGGTACCTCTGATTATGGATGAAGAGCAGGGAGAAAAATAAAACCCAAACTTTTTTTTTATCAGGGGAGGCCTGGTCCTGCCGTCTGCCACCGGGATTTGGGCCAAACTGCTTGATAGAGAGAGAGACCATCTGGATCGTCTGATGGGCTCTGGGTTTGGTTAAAATGAAGCAGAAGCTTTTTTTGCAGGAGAGGAGTTTTCTTGGGAAGATCTGGGGAAGGATTCCAGGGTACGCGCCAGACCTGTCGTGCAAAGAGATGCGAAGCAGCTACAAAGCTTCAAACAAAAATTGCTGCCAGTTTTAAGCCAAGACCCCCAGGGCTGCATCCGGGCATTTCCACCCACCCCAGGATGGGCTGCAACCAGCCCCCATTAGCTATCCTGCAGTCTCGGCTGGCGCTGGGTCCCTGCTGGAGTTGTCAGCGGCCAACAGCACCTTCCAGCATGCCTGGGCTTCGAGGCAGCTGTGCTGAACCCCACGCCTTGGCGTGCAGGGGATGAGGCAGCATGTCCTGGCCCACGCTTGCTACAGCATTTATGCTGTGCTTCGAAGCCATGCAGTGGCTGTCACTAGTCCACAGCAGTTCTCAGCCCTTCTCAGGGTAGGACCAGGCACTGCTGCAAAGCAGAAGTCTAAAAAAACGGCAGCAGCATGCATGCACAGTGCATGCTCTAACTCCCCCCCTAAGGAGCACTGCCAATGGCAGGATCCAGCTCCCCTTGCATCTGGACTGTGCTTCTAACCCTTCCTCCTACCAGCAGCATCACTGAAACACACCTGGTTTAGGAGTGGTGGCCAAAAGACCCAGCTGGAGACGTGCTGGGGGTAGAGTGGCTGTGACCTCTGGCTGCCCAACATCCCCCAGAGACCTTGTGCAAGGCAGGCTGCTGGGCTGCCCCTCTGCTGGCTGGGGCCACATCTGTCACGCTTGGCCAGCTCGGCTCGTGCTGGGAGGCCAGGCTGCCTTTGTCCCGCCGGACACGCTCGGCTTTGGAGGGTGAGGCATTGTGTGGGAGCGGGCCAGCCTGTAGCCCCGTTAGGGCACCTGTTGGGCTTGTGCAGCACGACAATGCCTTTGATGGGTCTATTATGGAGCAGTGCGGATGGCTGGGGGCTGCTGGGATCACAGTAAATCTCGCCTGGTTAGCAGCAGTGGCAGGCAGGGCTGGATGCGCTCTTTCCAGCATCTCTCTAGGGACAAGCCCTACCTTGCTGGCAAATGGCAAAAGCATCACTGGTGCAAACATGGCCAGCATCGCACTGTGATCGTGGCCAGCATCACCCTTTGAACACCGCCAGCATCATCGTCTGCCAGCATCACCCTGAAAATGTGGCCAGCATTGCTCTGCAAACATGACCCCACTGACTGCAGGAGATGGGGGCAGCTCTGCTGCCTGGGGAACTTGCCACTGGGACTGAGTGAAGGGAACAGCACCCATTGGGTCCTCCAGGATGATATGGGAGATTCTGAGGCTCCCAAGAGTGTAGATTTGGCTCCAGCCTCACACAACAGGGACTGTTTGAGTGGGGAGAGACCAGCCTGTCCTACAGCCTTGAGCTATTGCAGAGCAGCAAGGAGGGGGACAGTCCGCAAGGCATTGTGTCCCTGCCTCATGGTGCGGCTGAGCAGAGAGGCTGAGCACCACACCCTGGACTCCCAAAACCAGCTCTAGTCCACAAGAACTTTTGCGCAGAGCAGCCCAGACGCAGATGGGGAGATGCTGTTCCCAGCGCAGCTGGCCACACCAACCGCCTGGGAGCTCTGCGGCGCGGCACAAGCTGGTTTGAATAAACCACACGGGAGGAGGTGTTTGTGAAGCGCCTCGCACATGGAAACGCTATTGTTGGTGCAGCGTGGGATCGGGGACTTGGGGGTCCTCAGATGTAGCAGTTGTTCCACATCCACACTGTGCATACACACACGCTTTCCCCCGCTTGCTCTGCCTGGAGCCACTCATTAACCCTCCTCAGTGAAGACGCATTGGAGGGATAATTTACTGTTTAATAGACTAACTTTCCATTTGCTATTGCCAAGCACATCCAGCATATTTCTCCATGGTGCCATAAACTGCAGCTCTTCTGCCATAAAACCCTGCCTCCCAGTAGGAGCAGGTGGGTTTTCAGGTTTCAGCTAATGACCTTAGCCACAGGGTGAGCAGAGACACCAGGCTTTGTTTTTAGAGAAACAGGGCTTGTTCCCACCAACCCCTTTCACTTACTGCAATCCCCATTGCACTGACAGCCCTGAGCTGGGAAACCATCTAACCTGAGAAGTCAGGAGTGCCTCAGCCTGATGGATGAGGGAGGCAGCGGCTCTGTCCTGATTTTGTTAATGAAGATGCCCTGGGTGTAGAGGAGCTTGCCCCTGCTCCTTATTTATGGCTAGCTGGCGACGGTCCCATGCTGGGATTTAATCAATAAACTGTGTGCCCCCTTGGGCTCATTGTGCTTTTGCAGTTGCAGCCAGCCTTTCTGTGCCTTGTCGGTCCCACAGTCCTGAGCATGTGTCTCTGTGTCCACACTCCTCCTCTCCCCAGCCCTCACGGAGTTACAAGAGGCTGGAAGAAAGTCAGATTCTGCACAACGTGGGACAGGGGAGCTGGTCCCAGCCCCACTTTGCCTCCATCACCCAAACTCCCACACTGTAGAGGAGTCACTTTCAGGGTGCAGGTGCTGTGGGAAGGAGCAGCAGCCCCAGGGGCACAAGCCTGAGTGACTGGCTACCAGGGTCTGGCTCTGAAGGATGGCAAGAGGATGACAGTAGCCAAAAATAACTTGAAAATGAGAGGGAAGGGGTTTATCTTGCCTTGCGACAGCTCTGCTCAGCCCCAGGTGCAGGCAGGAGCTCCCTGGAGCTGGAGGACCATGCTAGGGACTACCTGCAGAGCTGATTTTTGTCTTACAGAGGACATCCCTCCCCAGCCTCTTTCCTCAGCCTTCTCTGTGCTCTTTATGTTGTTGTTCACCTTATTTATAGTCTCAACTTCCTACCCTCTCCATCCCCCAGATGCAGCTAGTGAGGAAGAACCAGGTGTCTCCAGGCCTGTGTGTGCCATCCCCCCCCCCCCCCCCC